ATAAGTTAACTAAGTAAAGAAAAAGAAATGAAAAGCATAACTAATAGATTAATGAAAGCAAAACTTAAGCATTACAAAAATATAAAGAGAGAGTAAGAACATGATTTTGATCTACAAACCAAGATACCTAAGTAAGAACATGATTTTGATCTAAAAACCAAGATACCTAAGTGCATGAAAATTGCCTCCTTTTATAAGCTAAAATTTGGAACTATTGATTTGATGACTACTTGTTGAGTGGGTGGTCAAATCTTGACTTGGTGACAATCCTTATCTTCTTATCTGAACAAAACTTTATTATTAATGTCAGAATTTGTACAAATAATATTATGAAAGTTCTAAGAAATTATCTTAGCTTTCCAATAAAAAAAAAATCAGTGCATTTAGATTTCTAGAACTCGAGATATGGGCTGAATACTGAATAGTGTTTGGACTGCATAACATGTTCAAACTTCTTTTTTAATGCTAATATTTGGACTCCAAACTATAAAATTAAGTGTTGAACTCATCAATGTTTTAGGTCTATATCTTAGCTTTATACCCATATAAACCAAACTGAAATCCAAGATCTACAGCTCCAGATATGACCCAATTACTGAATAGTATTTCAGTTTGGAGTGAACTATCATCTCTTTTCTAAGTTTAGCCCTATCTTTGTCTTTTTAATTTTAGTAGTTAAACTCATTAATCAATCCTTTCATTTATATGATAGGCTTGTATTTAAGATGAACATTCACTATAAATTAAAGGTATATTATATTTATTAAATATGTTATTATAAAACATACTCTAGTTAAGGAGTTATTGATACTTCAAGTGTAAAATGATGATATAAAACCTTGATAAAAATACACTTTTAAGTACTAATCATTTTCTTACTGCCTTTATAGATACCACATTCTTATAGCTCTAACTATCTATAATCAAACTATAAACTATATCTTTGATGATGCATGTAGTGTAAAAGATATTACTATACCTTCAATCCTTATTTGAATCACCGTTGGGTGTCAACATACTCTTTCTAATCACAAGGGTTATACTATCATTTATATGTACAACATCCCTTTCTCTATTTGAATCACCCTCGTTATTAGTAAAATTCATAGGCTCTTCCTTTACTAGCAAATTTTTTCCCATACAATTCTCAGGTTTGCTACATTTACTAATTTAGTGTCTTAACTCACCACATCTAAAACAATGAAGTATAAAACCAAAACCTTTACTTGTTACCCACTGATTTTTTTGGTTGGCCTAACTTAATTAGGGATTTACTGTAAGTCACTATTGCATCCTTTATTATTTTATTCTAATTGAAAGTTTTTATCAATAGTCCTAGCAACCTACTACATCTCCACTATTAGCCCTCTAATACACCTCTAGCATTGTTCACAAAGTCTGAAGACGCAATATCCTGAATTGGTTGTCACAGGCCACTAAAATACCGTGCCACAAACTGCTCCTCTATTTGTTCCAGATCATTCCTTGAAACTAGGTGGTAAAATCATCAATATAGTCATTGATAAATTTACCTTTTTGTTTTAACGTGTAAAGCCTTTAGTATATGGTTTATGAGTAGCCAAGAGGAAGAAAGTTTTGTTTCATGTTCTTTTTCATTTTGTCTTAGTCATTGATTCTAACTTTCCCTTGTCTCTCATATCTTCTTTAACTACTCCCATCAAGCAAATGCCCTGCCCTTTAATTTAATCACAACCAACTTCACTAATGTCTTTTCAAGTACATCCTTGTATTCAAAAATCTATTCAATCTCATTCAATCAATTTATAAATTCTTTTGTTTGTGTGAAACCTGAAAACTCAAGAATTTTGATATGAAATCCAAAATTTTCAAACTTATTCTTTTCTTGCTCAAGGGGTGGTCTCCTATAAATCCGTCTCAAATTTTCAGTACTAGTCAGGGACCTATTATCACTTTCCTGATCCTAGTCACACTACCTTTAGTCTTGTAGGTCCCTCTCTTTAGTATATAGATTAATTCCAAGATTTGCCTTTACATGTCTTCGATGATGAGCTCCTAAACGTTTCTGTCTCGAAAGGGGAGCTCCCTATCCCTTTCTTGGCTAAGCCCTACTCCTCGACCTCTTCTCATTATGGTTTGTTAGCGCGCACAACAACAAATAAATTTTCTTCCACAAGATTATAGAACATAACTTGCAATAACTCTGAAATTATTGGGCTATGATACTAACTAATGTAGGTGAAAGCTAAAAACAATAATTAAACAAAGAACACATAATAATTGTATAAGCAAAAAAAGTTGCAATGTAAGCTCTAAATTCTCAATTTTTATTTTTCTTAAAATAATAATAATCAAGTCAACCTCCTCAAGAGGTTTATAAAGTCTTAAAGAGGATAGAAACTCTATGTTACCTAAGAAATAAAACAAAATTTTAAAATTACAAAGAAAAGAAGCATAAAATTCAAAGATAGCATAAAATTCAATAATAACAAGTAGTATTATAAAAACTATCAAAATCAAGACCCTATAGCAAGATTTATGATATCTAAAAGGAAAAACAGCCTCTAAAGTCTCATGTAAAAACTCGAGTCTCATGTAAACACTCGAGCACGATTCAATAATCAAATAAAAAATTATAATTTTTTTTACGTAATGTCACAACTAGATCTCAATTTAGATCTAGATTTATCTTACTAGTTTATAAATATATTTATTATATGTTTGAGGCAAATCTCTATCTAATTGTTGAAGCAAATCACCCTTTATTGTAAACCAAACTATATTAATTACTATATAAAATATTAAAGCAGGGAGATAAGAAATACAGAGCCTATATGATTTGGCAGGAACCGCTGGCTCCACCACTTGAAACGAATCTTAAGAAATTTGCCAGATCACTGATCCAGAACAACTGGAGTAACTGGAAACGCGCCACCAGGATAATTAGCTCCAAACTAGCAACTAAATAGAAAAACCAGTGGTTCAGAAGATTATCATTAGCGTCTTGGGTACTGTCATTGACTCCGATATAGAAAACAAGGTTTGGAACGTGGCACTGCCAATGGTACAGGGCAGTCTCAAATAATCAATTAGATATGAACATGAAGCTCACATTGAGCATGAATACAACGACAATCGATTTTTTTTTACATAAGACAATTCTTTTAGTTTATGTACAGAATGGACATTGGTCCATTCTTTGTTTACAAAAAATCCCATTGCCAATAAACCTTCTCTACAATCCCTCCACCACTCCGCACAGCAAGACGGAGTGTTTCGGAAGCAGGTGGAACCCCCCAAAGATATGGCACTGCCACCGTCATTGTTAGCTTTTCGTGCAATCCACCTTTGATGGCCTTCTCTGCTGTCACAACCTGAAAAGTGAAGATTCATGTGCATTTTCAGATATAGCCAATCCACACATACAAACTCCAGGGATAGGAATCCTATTAAATTATGGCTATACAAATAAAAGCAAGGCAACAAAGATGTCAGACAAATAAAAAATTAAAAGATAGTCCTTTGCAGAGGTAGATATGACTGGAATTTTAAAAAGAAGGGAGTTTGTCAAACCATGATTGAGAATAGTTCCCGTTCAGCTAAACACTAGCCCTATGTGTATCTGAAATAGATTGATAAGTATTAAAGGATGACTATGCTGCTTAGGGAATACACAAAAACACTTCTCCTATATTGAATTAGATCCCCATTACCTGTTGCATCATCCTGCAACCCACTCGCAGAAACTCCAAATGACCCGCGCAAAACATGCTCAAATTAGTTTAACATTCACACAAAACTTAATATGATATTGGCATTCAGCTAAATATAATGAATCCTAATATTGTCAACTTCGTATATATCAAGTCTAGAGCCAACAATTAGTAGGCCAATAGAAGGGTAGTTGTCTATTTTTTTCTTTTAAAGAGTGTTGGGAAATATGATAACAATTATTTTTTAAAATACTTTATATTTAAAAATACATCAAATTTTATTTTTTTAAATTTATCTTTAATATCAAGATATCAAATCAATCTAAAAACATTAAAAAATATAATTTTAAACAAAAATAATAATAAATTTTCATGAAAAGCAAATTGAAGTCAAACGGGAACTTCAACTTCAAGTCTAGTACAATTCTCAAAACACAATGTGACTTTCCTCGGTGGACTAAAAAACTGATGTGAATAACACCCAATCAGCACTAAGCATGCAAATAAAAAAAAAATTAAAACACTCTCCCGTGAATTTGGGAGAAAAAAGCTATAAATATATATATAAAGTCCCTGCTTTGTAAGGCAACACTGGAGCCATCGCTGGAAGAGAAAGCATGAAATAAATTAACCGTAAACATCTAATTTATTTTTCTCCTTGCTTTTGTTGTGTATGGTCCCACCCCATGTAATGGTGGGACCACCACATTTATTGAGAAAAGAGGCAGCTGACCACTTTAAAATTAAGTGGTTCGGGTACAGTAGCACAAGATTTTGAAAAAAGAGAAGAGAGAAAAAGAGAAGAAAAGGCAGCAGAGCAGTCTTCATTCTTTCTTCGATTTCCAGCTCGTTCACCGTTGGATCGGGCTGAGATTTTGACAGCAGCTTCTAGACACGTTGATCTTCATTCTGAACGGTTGGATCGAAGATTGGTGGTGTGGAAGCTGACCGTTTTGACAGAAAACGAGGCTGTCAGTTTTGTGAGTTTTTCTCAAATAATTCTCCTTTAATCTTGTTGTAATCTGATAATAAGTTGTTCTTGATGATATATATGTTGTATCCCTTAGTTGAATCTGAGGAAGAATGATTGTGAACCCATTATTTGTTGATAGTG